GAGTAATCCGGATTAATCTTTTGAGGTGAAAATTATTTGAGACAACGATCAATTATGGATTTATGTTGTGTCGTGATCTTCCTCTTCTAGGGAAGTGAATCTTATGAACCGAGTAATACGTCGTGCTTCAAGCCAAGAACGGATTGATTGACTATCTGCCAGGGTACCAAGTTGCCCAACATGGGCAGCCAACACCCTTTAGGAATGTTGACTTAACGTCTGTTAAGTACATCTATCCTTGCATGCATGTTTGCAGCTGGCATATGATCTTGTCACTTTAGCTAGATCAAAGGAATGCGTCTAGAGCAACATTCTGAAAGTTAGAATACATCACACATACTTATCACACTTGTGTGGATATGAGACATAGTGGGCAACGTGCACGCGAATTTGCTTCGTTCTACAGGAACTTTGACGTTCTTATCTCCCTCTAATAGCGAGAAGACTGTCTCATTCAAGTGACAATTCACAAAATGAGCGATAAGGAGATCGCATGCAAAGGTTGTAAAGAGCTAGTGCGAAGGAAAATCATAATCAACAAAGATTCACATCCTTCTTTAAGGAACCATGTTGGTATGTTGCGGTGGTGCAAACTTGGCACATGGAATGCACACCCAAATGTGTAAGTATGGAACGTCAGGTTCGTACCTAGTAACCAACTGTAACATCGAATAGGTTAGGTGGCAATGGCCTCAAAGCAAATCAACATAGTTGTGTACATGATTGCATAGCTCTAGAAATCAATAGCTTGGTGTGTTCACCAAGGTCCAACGATCAATTAAACTGCGCTTTATGATCACTCTGCGAGGCTGTTTTGGGGTGAACATGGGAATTCAATGTCCAATTATAAACCCAAAAAAAAATGCAATACTTCTTGAAAACCTTCGATATAAACTTTCTAGTATTATCCAGTGTTCTAGACTTTATGGGATAATTAGGGTGGTGGTGCCTTAAAATTGGCCAAGAGGTTTAGCTGCAGTGTGTGTGGACAAACATGTGACCAGTTTGTCGATTCATCAACCAAAACCATAAGTATTTATATTGTCCACATTTTGGTTGGATTAGTCCACATATATTTCCTTGAATCCACTATGAAAAGAAGGCCATTTCGTATCTTTGCTAGGGATGATTTAGAAAATCAAATTTCCCAAACGAGTAAGTTTGGCAAAGTGTGTGCTTGTAAACATAAGATCCTTACTTTGGGCAAGGAGATTCTTCGTGGCATCATTGTTCGACCTAAGTTTACCAAACGGTCGTGCCAAGGCAAGTAAACTGCTCGAATCACCCACCTCTAAGTCGGCTACACATGGCGTATCCTAGTGGGGAGGTAGCCTATTGGCCCTAAAATAAAACTTTAGGCTCATTTTGGGGGTGATGCAAAGACATTCCACTCTATGTTTCATCAATGGTTTCATTCATGATCATTGTTCTCTCGAATATCCTAAAGACTCAATGATTTTCTTCTGGAATGAGGAGAACATAAGGTCTCTTAAATGGTAATTTAGTACCATTTATACAATGAGAAGCATGCCAATGCTCTTAATTAGGTTGGATAAACCTGAAGTCGTTGTTAAAGATGTGATTTAGGTATATAGTTAGTGTGCGTAGTGTCGCATTCATCCAGACAACTAACTTTCCCACATTCGTACCTAATCACGTTTTTAATTGAATTCGGTTAGAAACATTATTCAATTAACTCATATTCGAGGACAATATCGATAAGATTATCCACAAAGTAAACCAAAGTTACTAAAGAGATTCTCCCAACAAGGTCATCCATGTCAAAATTCTGGAGCAAAATTAGTCTCAGATATTGATTACGAGAATGGTACTCCTTAACGATATTGGTAGGGGCATGAAAAGGTGCATAACCAATGAATCTATTCCACCAAGACGGAAGTAGATTCTGCAAGGTTGAGGTTTGGGAACACTATCCCTTATTCTTGAAGTTTTAGGTCTTAGAGAGTATCCTACGCACGTTTGGTGACTTTTATCATGGCATTTATGATGATCAGTTTCTCTTTATTTGCAATGGTATGCAGGCCCTCGTTGATCTTAAGAATCTTCTACAACTCAGGACAATCGCAATTCTCGAGCCTCTCGTTTTTAAGAACTTTTGTGGGCTGGATGGTGCCTTGGAGATATTGAGGCAGCGACTACAGGGTTTAATGGTGGTGGAAGACCACAGAGATTATGCTATGGATGTGCAAAGCATCCGCAATGAAGTGCAGCAGAATTTTGATAGAAAGCTGGAAGAGGTGGTTGCTAAACTTGTTTTGGGTAGCAATCTGTTTAGAAATTTACTTTTGGTCGTAACTACCATCCTATTATTTTCTTTTACTTAGCGTCTTATGGAAATGACAGGTAAAGCAAAAGGGTGGCCAGGGGAAGACTGAAATGCATATGTGAGTCTTTCGGCCTCCAAAATGGTGGATTGACGTAACAAAGCCACCAGCTGGTTCCGTAAACAACATTACATACTTGGGTACATCTGGTGCGCTTGTAATTTATGTATTGCTCTTGATCTTGGATCTGTACATAGCGAACAATTGGAAATCTAGTCTCTTTCCCCATAAGGGAAACTAAGGTAGGCTTTGGTTGTAACTTGTAGTCATAAATTGATAGGTGAAACTTCAGGGGAAGAAATGTTATATGTTATACTATCTTCTTGGAAAATGAATTTATCTTGGCAGTCAGCTTATCCAAGCATCTTCGGTGAAAATGAAGTTTTGTTGTGAAAGTAATTGACGATTAGCAAACTAGTTTATATGCCTGTGTAAGATTAGTGGGGGTGAACATGCTATGATTGCGTGATGGAAGTTAAATTTTCGCTCAGTAACTAATAACCCATGTATCATGGTGAATGGGGAGGAGTAGTTCAACTCCTTAGAAGCTTTCTTTAACTTCTCAACGTACGATAATTCCATATTCTCACAGAAACAGCATGTAGAAGCAACAAAGAAAGTTTTGAAGTGATACTTCTACAGTTTGATACAAGAGTAAGACTCTTTCATGAATGAAGTAGGTGAACAATTCTTGTTGAACTATTAAATAGCAATTTTTCTCTTTGGTACCTAAAAACACGGACTATCGTTGCATGATTGATTGCTGGATTTGATCTAAAAACTTAAAAGTTTAACCTTTGGATATGATGCTACTGTTCAGGCTAGATCTGTCCCTCGCACAGCTCCTTGGAGCTCTTGCTTGTCAGGCAAGGTTTGCTGCAATATGAACTTGCTGTTAGTTTGAATGGTGCCTTTGTAGGGCCTTTGTTAGGTCGAGTCATTTGACATGATTAATGAAATTGATTGAGTTAGGGTTGATTAGAATTTGGGATGGACACAAAGCGAGGAATAGAGAGCAGGAAAATTTGAAATTGAAGATCAATTATGTGAAGAATAGTGCTAACTGTGAGAATGTGAGGACAAATATAGGTGAGCGACCAAACTATGCAAAGGGCTTATAAAAGGCTGAGTTGCTCTTCATATTATCAATAAGTTTTATGATGGAACCTTAGCTTTCTTCATGGTATCCGAATAGGTTGACCCACGTGTAAAGCCCAATAGCCACATGTGCTCACATCACCCTATTTGTATTATCCACGTGTTAGGCTTGAAAATTCGTCACACATGAGGGGGCATGTGAGAATGTGAAGACAAAGTCTCACATTGGTAAGGGAACAAACCATACAAGGGCCTATAAGAGGTGGGACTATTCCCTATATAATATATTGCTAATTAGTTTTATGGTGAAATCTCAACTTTATTCAGTAATAGTGCATGAAGATGATGATATCATAAAAATTATTAGTGGAGCGTGAGAGGGCTTTCTTAAGTTTAGGAGAGATAACTAATAATGTTTCAATAGAGAAAAATAAGATTTGATAGAAGAATTGTAATAGCCATGTGGAGCTAGGTGTATGGAAAGGGAATTTATAACCCTTTTGGGGAAAGTATGGGGGAATTTTAGTTATATAAGGTTTTCTGGTCGAGTGAGTATTGAAATAATTTTTCAGACTCCATTAAGTTTCAGGTGACTGATTGTTTACTTCAGTGGTAGTCCAGAGTTCATGCCCTACGCTAACAGTTTGGGGCAGGACAATTTTGATGTGGTGATTTACATTTATGATATTTAAAATCAATAAAATTGGTTTGTTAACAATCAATCATTTTAGTCATTTCATAAAAAAATTTCGTTAAATAAAAATAAAATAGCAAAAATACCATCAATTTTTGTCAAATTATTTTGGCATATTATTTATTAAATTGAAGAGTATTTTTTTCTCATTTTGGTCCTTATTTAACAGAAATTTTCACGGAATGACCAATATGATTGAAACTGGACAAACTCAGTAACCACTTCTGTTGCTTTCAAATCTTAAGGACTAAGTGAGGAGTCATGACAATCTCAATAATCATTTTAGCTAAAAAGCTGAAGGTAAAAGCCCAAGATAATATTACCCTTTACCCTTTAATTTTAAAAAACTTGAAAGGAAAGGGGGCTCAAAAAAATAATTTTAAATTGGAAAACAAAAATAAAGCAAATTTGAGGTTCAAATAGAACCATCATAATTCATTTGTTTTCTATTGGAAAAAGGTTTTTTGCCATCTTGGTCTGTGTTTAACTAGCTTTCTTCTAGTTGAAACCTAATTTCCCTAATTCTCTAATACATTAGTTTCAAATGTTTTTTTTTTTTCCCGTCATTCCTGTAATCCCAGATTTATTTCAAAGTATTTAGATTTTTGTAACAAATGTATAGTTATAATAACTTATTTACAACTTAAAATCCAGCCATCTAAACTTGCAAATTGTTGCAGCCATGAGGCTCGTTAATTATTTTTTAATATTTTTTTTCACTGTTTTCCTATATGATAAAGGGTGGTGCAATCTACACACCTAACTTTACCTCTCACATATCCCTTGTTAATTACTGTCCTTTCTATTTTTCAATTCATTCGATCAATTTCAACTGTACAATACACAAGCAAAACACAAAAGCGAATACACCAATTCTGGTTGATTTCTTAAGAGAGAGTCATCATCCAAACCAGAGTAGTGCTAAAGACTAATTGGAAAACTAATCATTGTCCGTACAACCAACAAAATCACACTCCCAAATAGGTTACAAGCATTCATCCAAGTTCCAACTAGTACTAGAGAGCAGCAACAGTCTAGAACTCCCATTTCTTCATGTCCACGCCGACCGGAGCACTTCCCTCAACCTTTTGTTTCCCACTTCCTTACAGTTTGTCTAAGTCATTGTCCTGTTCCACTCCCCACAGCATGTCTTGTCTCCACAGAGCACTTCCCTCAACCTCTTGTTTCCCACTTCCTTCCAGTTTGTCTAAAGCACTGTCCTGACTTCCCTCAGCATGTCCTGTCTCCTCGGTGCCCTTTTTCGTCTGTATTCGAAGAGGTGATAATTTTCCGCACCTCCATTAAGTTCTTCCCGCCGCATCGCTTAGTCTACCCTTTTTCGTTTCGGGGATGGGTAGTACGGGCTTGACGCTCCAACAACTGGGCTACTGACCCTTAGTGGAACAGAGTTGTCCTCGCTGAATTCAAGAGATGTCCAGTGTAATGGTTCAGCTTTAGCCAGGCGAATTTCAACTTTGGTGGACAGAACGTCAAATCTGCACTTTTCAGGCATTATCTTTCCAAATAAGCGAGGCTGAAAATAATATGTATCTTCACCAGCAACATCAATGCTAACACTTAGTATTTGTTCACCAAAGTCAACATTAACGTCTTTGGCTGGTATGCCCTTGGCGAATATAGTCACAACCACTTCTTCTGGCTTCTGGTAGAATTCATGCCTGTACTTTGGGTTGACAGATGCTACGGCCAACTCGAAGGGGCCATAGATGAACGCCTCCTTTGCACGCTTTTTGAGATCAGAAGCCATGGGCGGACAACGGTCCATGTGGACTGAGGGAGATGTAAGAGTCTAGATAAAAAGTATACAACTATGGTTAATTGTTGATTTCTTTACATCTTTGAGATAAGAAACTAAATACAATTTATGGTATTTAATAAAATACAAAATACGTTGATTAATTAATAAATTTTTAATTTATCGATTATTTAATATTTTGCTAAATAATTGTCTTCCTGGGTCTCGAGGCTATTAATTTAAAGAAGTTTAATTATATAGAAAACCAAAAATAAAAACAGAACAAAATATAAAAATAACCAAACCTAAACTTAGGTGCTAAAATTTGGCAAATATACGATATAACTCTAATAATTTCGGAAGTACAAACCTCGTCTGATGAAGTATTGCTTGGTACGGCACCAATCTCGTCATTCCTAGAGTATGAGTCACCACCATCACCATCATCCCAGACTAGATTAACTCCTGTTTTCATTGCTTTCGCTCTCCAACCTGTAACTGCAGAAATCGAGACTTCGTCCCCACTTTGCAAAGGGAATACATCATTTGATAATACACTTTGCAAACGGAGTACACTATTAGCGAAACCGAGTGTATATTCTCCCGGGATGTGCAAAGTCTTACCCTTGGTAATATTTGTAACAGTAAATCCAGGACAATACGTTTTGAAAACACAGCAGAGAGTCAATCCTCTAAAAATTACGACCAATAATTTGAGGCACTTTAAAATGAACACCATTGGACTCATGAATACCAACAAACTGGAACCACTCTGGATTATCATAAACTCCATTGAGAAAAATGCCACCATGTCCGCAAGAAGTCCATCCCTAGATCATACCATGTAAAGCCAGATTAATTTGTAGAAGCAATAGTCTTAATTATGCATGCGTGTCATCAACAGTGCCTCTGTGGGCGTGTGATAGAAAGTGCAAGAGAATATAGCTCTCAGAGAGAGATCTGTAGGATGTTCTTCCTAAAACTCAGCATGTACACGTCATTCTTATGCATAAGTAATATATTCTTGTACATGCATGTCTTATGCGTGTATGTGTGAGAGAGAGAGAGACCTGTATGATGTTCTTCCTAAAAGCAGCAGTGAGATCGGTGCAGCCTTCCATATGAATCCTCCTCATAGTGTTTAACGACTTATGCAAGCCTAGAATCTCAGTGAGTTCGGGAGAGCAATTCAGATGCAGTTCTACCATACTCGACATTTCTGAAAAATTTGGCATTTTTTCAAGTGCAATGCACTGATTCGCTCTCAAGATTTCCAAATTTGTTGGTAAATTCGGGATTTCATGAAGACACATGCAAAAACTCAAATCTAACATTTTAAGCTTGGAGAGTCGACTGAGGCTCGGTAGGCTATAAAACAAATTGCCAGCAAGCTCCAATATTTCTAAAGAAAATAGACTCCCAAGATCCTTAGGGATTGCATCATCAGTTAAACCGCAGTTTCCAAGATCTAAAAGTGTCAAAGAATTTAAGCCATGCAATGAAAGGAGCACAGATCTCAGGTTCTTCAATCCTGCTATCGAGGATGGTAATTTCCTTGTCATTGTATGGCTTGCTTGAGGTGTTGTCGATGATACCATCTCCCCCTTGTCCTTCAGTTTTATAAATCCTGTACAGCCTTTAAGAATAAGAGTCTCAACTGATTTTGACTTACAGAAATCCCCTGGAAAATACTGAAGCGTTTTGCAGTCTTCAAGATTTACCAACGAAAGTCTTTCAAGATGCCCAATGGATGGGTGAATCTTAGACAATCTTACACAGTTTACCAATATCAGTTTTTCAAGATTTGGGACTTTGGAAAGATCTGGTGATTCTGTTAGGTAATGGGAATGACTGAGATTGATGATTTTCAGATTCTTGAGCAGCTGCTAGGAAAAAACAGATAACAAAATAAAAATTCAAATACAAGAGAGAAAGCAAGATATTGGCATTCACAGAAGCTGAAGAAAATAATTAATAATTTGTTTGAGATCGTATCATACCACGTCAGTATCCTCCCAAACTCGTATGAGTTTGCTATAGTTCAGGTCAATAGCAACTAGGTTTGGTTGATCGAAATCTTCAGGTATGACCTTCAGAGGAAATCCATGCCAACACAACCATCTTAACTCTTTTGAAAGATTGCTGTGACTTCCGGTAACATTTACATAATTGAGTTTGAGCAATCTCAGACGTCGCATCTTTAAATGCTTCTGTACTGAAGCTACGCTCGCCAGACTCTTTCATATCTAAAGCGAGTCCTTCAACGTCTTCCGTTCCCTATTCAAGGAAAATAAAAAGGAAAAAAGTAAGACAAAATTTATTTTGACGTGAAAAGAGAATTTACACACATGAAGAAAGCCATGAATGGGATGTATGAACTAGAATTCAGTTGTGATTTACATTTTGCCAAATTAATTAGGTATCTTAGTCGGCATCGGTTACACGGTGTTACTTTATGTATTACTAAACCCTTGGCACACGCGTGTGCCTTTAATATTGTTTTGGACTTCTATTTTTGAATATAAAAATACGTGGTGTACAACTCGTGTTCCGGTTACAATAAAAAATTTCTCCATCTACTGCGTGGGTTTGGGGTTTTTAATTTAAAAAATTAATTATTGCAATAATAGGTGGCATATACTTATCCCTTAATGAAGTTCATATTTAACAAAGATTTGATTGCCGAAGTACTTACAGATTGTTTCGCCAATACGTCTATTACATCCACATGATGCCACAACCTACTACGTTCTCCTGGATGGTAACGGCATTGTGCATGTACGATTTCTCTGGCCATGTCTCGAATCAAGTCATGCATCATGAGATTGCCTTCTGTATCAACAGTTACAAGGCACTGATCTTGGAGTTCTCGAATTCCTTTTTCTGGATATAAGTCACAGCCATCCAATATTGTCGTGACATAGTTCTTGTTCATTCCAATAAAGAAACAGCCTATATTCAGGAATACATCCTTCACAAGGTCATCAGTTAGCCCATCATAACTTATTTTAAGTATTCCCTGTATCTCCCTAGGAGGATGTCTTTTCCATTTATCCAGTACAGTTTCCCATTCACTTTTGCTTTTTGTACACAGATAAGAACCTAAGACTTCTAGTGCTAGTGGTAATCCTGCACAGTAGCCAACAGCTTTTCTTGAGAGCTCAACATACTCTTCATTAGGATAACTCTTACCAAAGGCATGCCAACTAAGTAGCTCAAGAGCTTCTTCTTTATTCATTTCTTGCACAATATATATCACATCCACATTAAGCATCTCTAGCAAATGTCGATCTCTTGTTGTTATGATAATTCTACTTCCTGGACCAAATGAGTAATGATTTATACCTAATGCATCTAACTGTGCATCGCGGTCTACATCATTTACTATGACAAGCACTCTTTTGTCGCCAAGTCTTCTTATAATCTCCTTGGTCCCTTCATTGACCTTAAGAACCTTCATGTTTCCCAAACTCAATATATCAGAAAGAAGTTTGTTCTGTGAATGAACCAGTTTCTTATCTTCTCTCACATTTGGAAGGAAGCTTGCACCATCAAAACTATGATGATGTTTCTTGAAAACGGCTTTTGCAACCGTTGTTTTACCCAGTCCGCCCATACCCAAGATTCCAATGATACGGACATCATTTGATCCTTCAACGTCTAAAAAATTACTGATTACTTGAACGCGAGAATCTATTCCAACTGGGTGTATGGCTACGTCCAAGTAATTGCTTCTCAGTTCTCTACTGATTCCTTCATACCTGGTAGGTAAAATTCAATTCAAAATTAAGCAAAAGTAAGATTTACAAATAAACAGCACAATTAAATTGAACTAATATCTTGCTCATTATGACAAGAGCTTGGGAGTGGAAGATTTGAAAGCCCAGTGATGCATCAAAATCTTTGAAAATCATTAAAGCATTAAACAACACAGATTTCTCATGGAAGAGTCTGGAAGCTCTACATTGCAATGTGTAAAATCAATTACTCCAAGGCGTAGTTATGATAATTTCATTGTTTCTTGACATTTGATATATATGAGAGTTCAATAGACCAATACATTATGTAGCCAATTAATAACTCTTGTTAGAAGGAATGGGAAATAAAAAAAAATCCAAAATATAGGAAAGGAAAAAAGAAATAAGAAAGTACCCATCAGCACCCAATAACCAATCCGGATGTTGGTCAAAATCGTATAGAAGCAAGTCTGAATCATGCATATTTTCCTTCATAAAGTTGTCCCATACTAGATTAACCCCTATTTTCTTCACACTCACAGAAGCATCTGCAGGTTCAACAGGCTTTACAAATATATCAACCTTGTCCCCTCCTTGCAAATTGAGCACATAGTTTGATATATGTCCCTGCCAAAGATAATGGCCATCAAGCGTGCAGGAAGTTGGTACCGAGGCATATGTTATCCGGGCGAGCAAAGCAGTACACCAACAACAACAACAACAAAGCCTTTTCCCACTAAGTGGGGTCGGCTATATGAATCCTAGAACGCCATTGCGCTCGGTTTTGTGTCATGTCCTCCGTTAGATCCAAGTACTCTACGTCTTTTCTTAGAGTCTCTTCCAAAGTTGTCCTAGGTCTTCCTCTACCCCTTCGGCCCTGAACCTCTGTCCCGTAGTCACATCTTCGAACCGGAGCGTCAGTCGGCCTTCTTTGCACATGTTCAAAATCACCGGAGCCGATTTTCTCTCATATTTCCTACAATTTCGGCTACTCCTACTTTACCTCGGATATCCTCATTCCCAATCTTATCCTTTCTCGTGTGCCCACACATCCCACGAAGCATCCTCATCTCCGCTACACCCATTTTGTGTACGTGTTGATGCTTTACCACCCAACATTCTGTGCCATACAACATCGCTAGCCTTATTGCCGTCCTATAAAATTTTCCCTTGAGCTTCAGTGGCCTACGACGGTCACACAACACGCCGGATGCACTCTTTCCATCCAGCTCGTATTCTATGGTTGAGATCTCCATCTAATTCTCCGTTCTCTTGCAAGATAGATCCTAGGTAGCGAAAACGATCGCTTTTTGTGATCTTCGCTAGATTGCTCCGGTCATTAGTGTGGATAAGTATATAAATGGATAGAGATAGGAAAGCAAACACAAGATGTACGTGGTTCACCCAGATTGGCTACGTCCACGGAATAGAAGAGTTCTCATTAATTGTGAAGGGTTTACACAAGTACATAGGTTCAAGCTCTCATTTAGTGAGTACAAGTGAATGATTTAGTACAAATGACATTAGGAAATATTGTGGGAGAATGATCTCGTAATCACGAAACTTCTAAGTATCGGAGTGTGGTGTCGTCTTGACTTGCCTTATCTGTCTCATAGGTAGATGTGGCATCTTCTCTGGAAGTACTCTTCCTCCATCCAGGGGTGGTATCTTTAACTGGTGGAGATGCACAAGGTAATGTATCAATTTCACTTGAAGCTTACTTGTAGTTTCAGGCTTGGTCAAGCGCGATACAAACCATGTAGTAGGAGTCCCCCAAGTCGCCGAGCTCGGGGGGTCTGCTGAAAGAGGTGACAGACAAGGTAAGCAATCAGAGCTCCGACTGATTGTTCACCTTCTCCCCATCTTGCAGCAGCATGAAGGATAAAGAGAAGAAAAATGAGAAGAGATGATATGAGATACTTTTGCTTTTGAAGAAGTAACTTTCCACAGGCTTATTCTTGAACTGAGCTGGAGGGTTTTCTGGTTTCCTCCAGAGTATAAGGCCGACTGAAGAATTTGAGGGTCAAAACAAGTCCATCAAATCTAGAGTACGTTCCACCCTGCTGATATGGGATACTTTTGCTTTTGACAGAGTAATGAATGTATCGGCACGTGTGCTGTTACGCTTGTCTCCACATGCTTCCTTGTATCCTTCGCACTTGCCCTATCTGTTCCTCAAGCAGATGCGGAATCTTCCCTGGAAACATAAGATGTTGAAGATGAGTACTCGAGAGCAATGTCAGGTAAGTAATCAGGTAAGGGGTTCCAGGCAGTCAGTTCCTGGCTGGAAGCTTGATTCCAAGTGCTGACTGATTGCTCTCTTTTCTCCTTGTCTTGCAGGTAAAAACAAGGCCAAAAGAAAAGACAGGGAAAAAGCATGATATGGGATACTCTTGCTTTTAACCCTGATGATATGAGATATTCTTGCTCTAGTATAGCTTGTTTGCAGAGGTATTATCGGGGGGAAAGAAAGCTGAATATTTCGAAAGGCTTCGTTGGGAGTGCCCTCTCAGATATGATGAAGGGTTGAGCATTTTTGCAGGTCTGCCTGTCCGTTGGGGATGGAGGTCGACATATATAGGAGTCTCCCTAACAACAAGTAGTAATGCTATTCCTTTACCCTGCTTGGTCATAGCACGGTAGTGGGAGCTGCCAGTTTCACATGTTTTAACTCTGTCAGAGCACTTTGAAAAAGTGGTCTGTCTGTGGTATCTGGCTCTCGAGATTCGGAGAACACGATGCCTCTTCGATTTTTGAGAAAGCAATCATGCTGGGGGTATGACTCTCGAGATTCGGAGAGCAGTGTCTCTTCGATTTTTGAGGAAGTAATCATGTTGGGAGTCTGGCTCTCGAGATTCGGAGGGCGGTGCCTCTTCGATTTTGGAGCAAGCAATCTTGTTGGGAGTGTTGTCTCGAATGTGAGTAAAGGTTGGGCATGTTTGCTAGTCTACCTTGCCACGAAGCACAAAGGTTGACACACAGGGACTTTCCAATTATCCAGCAATGGTACTGTTCCTTTACCCTCTCTTCGATTTTGAGAAAGTAGTCATGTTGGGAGAGTCTGGCTCTCGAGATTCGGAGGACGGTGCCTCTTCGATTTTGGAGCAAGCAATCTTGTTGGGAGTGTTTTCTCGAATGTGAGTAAAGGTTGGGCATGTTTGCTAGTCTACCTTGCCACGAAGCACAGAGGTTGACACACAGGGACTTTCCAATTATCCAGCAGTGGTACTGTTCCTTTACAGTTTGTGGGTAATAATATGGTAGCTAGACCTTCAAAATTTATGTGTCTAAACTTTTGTTAGTGCTGTTTCTTTGCTATTCTTTTACCTTTCTTGGTCAGAGCGATGTAGTGGGAGCTGCAAGCTTCACGTGCTCAACTTTGGCAGAGAACTTTGGCAAAGTTATTTGTCTGTGGTACCCATGAGCTATTGTTGCGTGTGGGAAGTGGGTGATTGAACAGTAAGATTCATGTGCTTTCTACTTCACCAGAAGTCTTCGACAGAATGCCCATAATTTCTGCAAAGCTGAGTGTGCGTGTGACAGGTGCTGACAAGGCTAGAAAAGTAGGTGCCTCTTCGATTTCTGAGATCGGCCCTCGTGGTCTCTGAGCAGCCCAGCTTTTGAGAAAGCGAGCGCCTCTTCGATTGATTCGGAGAACGATGCCTCATCGATTTTTGAGAAAGCAATCATGCTGGGGGTCTGGCTCTCGAGATTCGGGGAGCAGTGTCTCTTCGATTTTTGAGAAAGTAATCATGTTGGGAGTCTGGCTCTCGAGATTCGGAGGGCGGTGCCTCTTCGATTTTGGAGCAAGCAATCTTGTTGGGAGTGTTTTCTCGAATGTGAGTAAAGGTTGGGCATGTTTGCTAGTCTACCTTGCCACGAAGCACAGAGGTTGACACACAGGGACTTTCCAATTATCCAGCAATGGTACTGTTCCTTTACCCTCTCTTCGATTTTTAAGAAAGTAGTCATGTTGGGAGTCTGGCTCTCGAGATTCGGAGGACGGTGCCTCTTCGATTTTGGAGCAAGCAATCTTATTGGGAGTGTTTTCTCGAATGTGAGTAAAGGTTGGGCATGTTTGCTAGTCTACCTTGCCACGAAGCACAGAGGTTGACACACAGGGACTTTCCAATTATCCAGCAGTGGTACTGTTCCTTTACCCTTGTGGGTAATAATATGGTAGCTAGACCTTCAAAATTTATGGGTCTAAACTTTGTTAGTGCTGTTTCTTTGCTATTCTTTTACCCTTCTTGGTCAGAGCGATGTAGTGGGAGCTGCAAGCTTCACGTGCTCAACTTTGGCAGAGAACTTTGGCAAAGTTATCTGTGGTACCCATGAGCTATTGTTGCGTGTGGGAAGTGGGTGATTGAACAGTAAGATTCATGTGTTTTCTACTTCCCCAGAAGTCTTTGACAGAATGCCCATAATTTCCGCAAAGCTGAGTGTGCGTGTGACAGGTGCTGACAAGGCTGGAAAAGGCTGGAAAAGTAGGTGCCTCTTCGATTTCTGAGATCGGCCCTCGTGGTCTCTGGGGAGCCCAGCTTTTGAGAAAGCGAGCGCCTCTTCGATTTTTGAGATCGGCCTTCGTGGTCTTTGAGCAGCCCAACTTTTGAGAAAGCAAACGCCTCTTCGATTTCTGAGATCAACCCTCGTGATCTCTAAGCAGCCCAGCTTTTGAGAAAGCAAACGCCTCTTCGATTTCTGAGCAGGCGCCTCTTCGATTTCTGAAGCTTCCGTCGAGTGCAGATTTTTATAGGGGCTGGCATTAAGTTCCAAAGCACACTTGAATCTCCACCAGTAGAAGCTTCATTCTTGCACTTCTAAGATCTTGATTTGTCCGACCTCTTCTCTCTTCAACACCTTTGAAAATGTCTGGCCCCTCCGACCGTCGTTTTGACTTGAACCTTGTTGAAGAGGCAGCCCCGCCTTCTCCAGACAACATATGGCGCCCATCCTTCGTCTCCCCTACTGGTCCTCTTACCGTTGGGGATTCCGTGATGAAGAATGATATGACCGCTGCGGTGGTGGCCAGGAACCTTCTCACTCCCAAAGATAACAGACTACTTTCCAAACGGTCTGATGAGTTAGCTGTTAAGGATTCGCTGGCTCTCAGTGTTCAGTGTGCAGGTTCTGTGTCTAATATGGCCCAACGCCTATTTGCTCGAACCCGCCAAGTTGAATCATTGGCGGCTGAAGTGATGAGTCTCAAACAGGAGATTAGAGGGCTCAAGCATGAGAATAAACAGTTGCACCGGCTCGCACATGACTATGCTACAAACATGAAGAGGAAGCTTGACCAGATGAAGGAAACTGATGGTCAGGTTTTACTTGATCATCAGAGATTTGTGGGTTTGTTCCAAAGGCATTTATTGCCTTCGTCTTCTGGGGCTGTACCGCGTAATGAAGCTCCAAATGATCAACCTCTGATGCCTCCTCCTTCTAGGGTTCTGTCCAGTACTGAGGCTCCAAATGATCCCCCTCCGGTGCCTTCTCTTTCTGGGGCTCTACCGACTGCTGAGACTTCTCCTAAGCAACCTTTGTGAAGGCTCCCTCTTGTGTGTTTATTTTGACTCATGTATATGTACATATTTGTAGCTTATCGGGGATATCAATAAATAAGCTTTCCTTCATTTCAACGTATTGTGTTAAATACACCAAAGCCTTCTTCGCTAAGTTCTTTGAATTTTTCTTTTGTTGAAGCTTGTATGTTGAAGCTTTCTGAGTGGAGCATGTAGGTTGGGGTAGTGTTCCCTTAATTTCCCGAGTGAGGAAAACTTCTCGGTTGGAGACTTGGAAAATCCAAGTCACTGAGTGGGATCGGCTATATGAATCTTAGAACGCCATTGTGCTCGATCCTGTGTCATGTCCTTCGTTAGATCCAAGTACTCTAAGTCTTTTCTTAGAGTCTCTTCCAAAGTTTTCCTAGGTCTTCCTCTACCCCTTCGGCCCTGAACCTCTGTCCCATAGTCGCATCTTCTAATCGGAGCGTCAGTAGGCCTTCTTTGCACATGTCCAAACCACCGTAACCGATTTTCTCTCATCTTTCCTTCAATTTCGGCTACTCCTACTTTACCCCGGATATCCTCATTCCTAATCTTATCCTTTCTCGTGTGCCCACACATCCAACGAAGCATCCTCATCTCCGCTACACCCATTTTGTGTACGTGTTGATGTTTCACCGCCCAACATTCTGTGCCATACAGCATCGCCGGCCTTATTGCCGTCCTATAAAATTTTCCCTTGAGCTTCAGTGGCATACGGCGGTCACACAACACGCCGGATGCACTCTTCCACTTCATCCATCCAGCTTGTATTCTATGGTTGAGATCTCCATCTAATTCTCCGTTCTTTTGCAAGATAGATCCTAGGTAACGAAAACGGTCGCTCTTTGGTATTTCTTGATCTCCGATCCTCACCCCTAACTCGTTTTGGCCTCCATTTGCACTGAACTTGCACTCCATATATTCTGTCTTTGATCGGCTTAGGCGAAGACCTTTAGATTCCAACACTTCTCTCCAAAGGTTAAGCTTTGCATTTACCCCTTCCTGAGTTTCATCTATCAACACTATATCGTCTGCGAAAAGCATACACCAAGGAATATCATCTTGAATATGTCCTGTTAACTCATCCATTACCAACGCAAAAAGGTAAGGACTTAAGGATGAGCCTTGATGTAATCCTACAGTTATGGGAAAGCTTTCGGTTTGTCCTTCATGAGTTCTTACGGCAGTCTTTGCTCCTTCATACATATCCTTTATAGCTTGGATATATGCTACTCGTACTCCTTTCTTCTCTAAAATCCTCCAAAGAATGTCTCTTGGGACCCTATCATACGCTTTTTCCAAATCTATAAAGACCATGTGTAAATCCTTTTTCCCATCTCTATATCTTTCCATCAATCTTCGTAAGAGATAGATTGCCTCCATGGTTGAGCGCCCTGGCATGAACCCGAATTGGTTGTCCGAAACCCGTGTCTCTTGCCTCAATCTATGCTCAATGACTCTCTCCCAGAGCTTCATTGTATGACTCATTAGCTTAATACCCCTATAGTTCATGCAATTTTGTACGTCGCCCTTATTCTTGTAGATAGGCACCAAAGTGCTCGTTCGCCACTCATTTGGCATCTTCTTCGTTTTCAAAATCCTATTGAAAAGGTCAGTGAGCCATGTTATACCTGTCTCTCCCAAAAGTTTCCACACTTCGATTGGTATATCGTCTGGGCCTATTGCTTTTTTATGCTTCATCTTCTTCAAAGCTACAACCACTTCTTCCTTCCGGATTCGACGATAAAAAGAGTAGTTTCTACACTCTTCTGAGTTACTCAACTCCCCTAAAGAAGCACTCATTTCATGTCCTTCATTGAAAAGATTATGAAAATAACCTCTCCATCTGTCTTTAACCGCGTTCTCTGTAGCAAGAACCTTTCCATCCTCATCCTTGATGCACCTCACTTGGTTTAGGTCCCTTGTCTTCTTTTCCCTTGCTCTAGCTAGTTTATAGATATCCAACTCTCCTTCTTTGGTATCTAGTCGTTTATACATATCGTCGTAAGCCGCTAACTTAGCTTCTCTGACAGCTTTCTTCGCCTCTTGCTTCGCTTTTCTATACCTTTCACCATTTTCATCGGTCCTCTCCTTGTATAAGGCTTTACAACATTCCTTCTTAGCCTTCACCTTTGTTTGTACCTCCTCATTCCACCACCAAGATTCCTTTTGGTGTGGGGCAAAGCCCTTGGACTCTCCTAATACCTCTTTTGCTACTTTTCGGATACAACTAGCCATGGAATCCCACATTTGGCTAGCTTCCCCCTCTCTATCCCACACACATTGGGTGATTACCTTCTCTTTGAAAATGGCTTGTTTTTCTTCTTTTAGATTCCACCATCTAGTCCTTGGGCACTTCCAAGTCTTGTTCTTTTGTCTTACTCTTTTGATATGTACATCCATCACCAACAAGCGATGTTGATTAGCCACGCTCTCTCCTGGTATAACTTTGCAATCCTTACAAGTTATACGATCCCCTTTCCTCATTAGAAGAAAAATCTATTTGTGTTTTTGACGACCCACTCTTGTAGGTGATCACATGTTCTTCTCTCTTCTTAAAGAAGGTGTTGGCTAAGAAGAGATCATATGCCATTGCAAAATCCAAGATAGCTTCCCCATCCTCGTTTCTCTCCCCAAAACCATGGCCACCATGAAAACCTCCATAGTTGCCTGTCTCCCTGCCCACGTGTCCATTTAAATCTCCTCCTATAAATAACTTCTCCGTCTGAGCAATTCCTTGCACCAAGTCTCCAAGATCTTCCCAAAATTTCTCCTTCGAACTCGTATCCAACCCTACTTGAGGTGCGTACGCACTAATCACATTGATAAGTTCTTGTCCTATTACAATCTTGATTGCCATGATTCTATCTCCTACCCTCTTGACATCTACAACATCTTGTACCAAGGTCTTGTCCACGATGATGCCAACACCGTTTCTCGTTCTATTTGTGCCCGAATACCAAAGTTTAAACCCTGAGTTTTCTAGATCCTTTGCCTTACTACCAACCCACTTAGTTTCTTGTAGGCACATAATATTTATCCTTCTCCTCACCATAACTTCCACTACTTCCATAGATTTTCCCGTTAAGGTTCCTATATTCCACGTTCCTAAACGCATTTTGCTCTCTTGAACTCTACCCTTCTGTCCTAGCTTCTTCACCCTCCCCCGTCTAATAGGATCAAAGTACTTCTTTTGTGTGTCCCGGGTAAAGTTGATAGGAGCATATGCTCCCAAACAACTTTGAGTGGAGTCGTTCGAAAAGAAGTTTCTATGGCCCCCTTGCTCATTTAACACTGCATCCGGGTGCCGATGGAGATACAGCGACCCTTGCTCACTTATCACTGTGCTCAGGCCACACAGCGCGCCACTTACGGGTGACGCCCTAGCTTTAGCGCGATTTTGTTCTGGATTCATTTTCATAAGGATTCGACGTGATCATGGAGTGCCGGCTGTCGACTACCTGACGCCCTCCCCCTCCTCCTTTATCCGGGCTTGGGACCGGCCATGTAAGACATAGTATTTGTCTTATGGGTGTGCCATCTGCTGTCTTCTGGCAACTCTTTCCCAAGCCTTCAGCCAAGTTTTCAAATCTTGAACGGCTGTTAAGAATAAGAGTTTCAATAGACTTGGAATTAAAGAAATTCAGTGGGAGATCCTTGAGATTTTTGCAGCCTTCAAGATTAACCAAAGTAAGTCTTTCAAGATTCCCAATGGATGAGTGAACCTCAGACAAACTCTCACAATCATTCAATATCACTTCCTCGAGATTTGGGAGTCTTGAGAAGTCTGGTGTTTTTGCCAGGTTAGGGGAATGACTGAGATTAAGAAGCTTCAACTTCTCGAGCAACTGTTCAACAAAAGGAAAAACTAAAATAAATACAAATGGAAAAGAGAAAGCATGAAGTTGGAGTTTATAAAACCTGGAAGAAAGAATTAACAATTTGGTTGAGGCTATATCATACCAAATCGGAATCCTCCCAAACTCGTATGAGTTTGCTATAGCTCAGGTCAATAGCAACTAGGTTTGGTTGATCAAAATCTTTTGGTATGACCTCCAGAGGAAATCCATGCCAACACAACCATCTTAACTCTTTGGAAAGATTGTGGTAACTTCCAGTGAGCTTTATGTTATTGAGTTTGAGCAATCTCAGACTCTGCATGTTTCTAAATAATTCTGAACTGAAGCTACACTCGTCAGACTCTTGCATATCTAAAGTGAGTCCTTCAATGTCTTCCGTTCCCTATTACAAAAAATAGTTAAAAATTAAAAACAAACCAACAACAACAACAGAGGAACTAAGAAAAGGGTTATATGCAAGTGAAAAGGTGATTAATTCATACATCAGAACCACAAAGCCTTGAATTGGATGGATGAACCACATGAGAGGTAGACAATTAGACAATATAGAACATGGGACCTCTCAAAGGCAACTTTTATTATATATCTTCCAATAATGTGCTTATATGTCCGGATTATAACCATAGAGTTGTACTTTACATCTGTCTACATTAATTAGGTATCTTTAGCAAGCTTCTTTTACGGGTATCATAATTCACAAATTGTACTCAACGAGAGCAGGACATGTGTGATTCTGTTATTTAATTTGAGATGATTCAATACAAAAGGCTCCTTTTTTTGTCTCTTACAGGTTCCTTTCTCTGCTACATTAGTACATGCATTTAACATCAAATTTAATTGCAAAAGTACTCACAGATTGCTTCGTCAATACGTCGGTTATATCTTCATTATGCCACAATCTACTACGTTTTCCAGGATTGTAAGGGGATTCTGCATGCACGATTTCTCTGCCCATGCCTTGAATCAAATCATGCATCATGAGATTGCCTTCTTTATCAACAGTTACAAGGCATTGATCTTGAAGTTCTCGAATCCCTATTTCTGGATAAAACTGACAGCCGTCGAGTACTGTCATAACATGGTCCTTGTTCATTCCAGTAAAGAAACAAGAGATATCAAGGAATATAGCCTTCACGTCATCATCAGTTAGCCCATCATAGCTTATTTCAAGTCTTTTGTGAATTTCTCGATAAGGCTGTGATCTATTCCATTTATCCAGTACAGTTTCCCATTCAATTGTGCTTTTTGTACGTAGATAAAAACCTAAGACTTCAAGTGCTAGTGGCAAACCTCCACAGTAGCCAACAGCCTTTCTTGAGAGCTCAACATACTCTTCATCAGGATCATTCTTTCTAAAGGCATGCCAACTAAGTAGCTCAAGAGCTTCTCTTTCACTCATTGCTGGCAGAGGACATATCTTATCCACATTAAGTATCTTCAGCAAATGTTTGTTTCTTGAAGTCATAATGATTCTGCTCCCTAGACCAAAGGAGTCAGGTTTTATATCCAAAGCATCTATCTGTTCAACGCTGTCTAAATCATCAATTACGACAAGTACCCTTCTGTTGCCTAACCTTTGTTCTATCTCCTTGGTCCCTTCATCGATACAACTTACCCCTATGTAGGCTGCTTTCAAGATATCAGAAAGAAGTTGTTCTTGCAAATCAATCAGTTTCTTTTCCCTCACGTTTTGAAGGAAACTTGCACCGTCAAAATTATGATGATGTTTGTTGAAAATGGCTTTTGCAACCGTTGTCTTACCCAGTCCGCACATACCCAAAATTCCAATTGTGCGAATATCATTTGATCCTCCAACATCTAAATGCTTACTAATGTCTCGCACACGAGAATCTATTCCAACTAGGTTGGTGGGTACCTCTAAGCTTGTGATGATGCTCAGTTTTCCAGTGATCTGAGAAATAACGTTCCTGATAAAGTTTCCTTCATGCCTGGTTGTTAAAATTCAACAAAGCAAGCGTGAAAATTTATTATGCAACCTCAAGATTACATTAATCTTTCAGAAATTGACGAGTCAAAATCTCCAGATACCATTACAATAAGCCTGATTTAATCATTATATACAAAGAGATAAATAAAATGGACGGGAAATTTAAAGCGCACAAAATAAAGAAAATAAAAGGGAAATAAGAAAATAATTACCCGTCAGTCTTCCTCAAATTTAATCCGTCCGAAAGGGAAAGTGCAGCTTCCCTAAGAGCCTTTCTCCAGAGATGTACCTTTTCTTCGTTAATTTTCTGTTCGTATTTCTGAAACGCTTGCGCAAAACTACCACTCTGGATCCGGACGTCAAAGGGATCAACATCATAGAAAATTGGAAAAAATAATTGACCCAGTGTTTTTCTGCACTCCATGATCTTCACCAGCTCCTCCAGACACCACAACGACTCCAGATACCCTCTTGAGATGACGACGACGGCAACCTTAGACCTTTCGATTGCTTGAATCAGATGTTCTGGTATAGCTCCATTACTTTCTTCTAGTTTGTCATCGTACTCGTCTCCGTACATGAAGACGTCGAATTGGTGGTCTTTTAATGAACAGTAGAGGTGGTCCGTGAAGGTCCTGCGTATGTCCTCACCTCCAGAACTCAAGTACACGTCGTCCTTGCGATCGTCTTCGGAGGATGAGGCCATCACTTGATACTCCAGGAATTTCTTGGCAGCACGGATCAAATTTGAGATCTACACACAACCGTAAAGGCAAATTAACGTCAAAACTCCGAAAAGAAAAAGGTGAACTGGCAAGTAATAGACTCGCAGTTTTCTGACACGACCATGGTATAAAATATCCATGATATCGGAAAGATGGTAGTTAAACATAGAATTTCGATGAAAATATTAGGATATTATTGATATCGATAAAAATTGAATAAAAATTATGAAAATTGTAAAAAAAAATTAGAATTTTTTATTGAAACTTTGGAGAATATTTATTTAGTCAATTATCTATTAGTTTATCAAAAAAAATTAAAAGGAAATGCATTACATGATGAATTTAACTCATTTAAGTTGATTATAGAGCGAGCTGGCAAACACTGAGGGTAGAAAATATGTAGTAATTAATGAAAAAAAGATTAAACACACCATAATCATTTATATATAATGATTTACTACAATATTTTACATTTTATACATTGCATGGTAAAATACATGAGTGATTTAGTATCACATAAAGTTCCTATAAGGTTTAAAATTTTCACTATCTTCATCATCTCTATGTGTAGAGTAAGTTTATTGTGAAAAGTATTCATCAAATGATAAATCTCCAAAATACTTATGCATCTAATTGTTAACATGAAACTCATATAAATATAAATATTTTAGCATATTATCACTAAAACATAAGTGATATATGGTGGTTATGGTGTTTGAAGAGTAAAATGGGAGGGGTTCAAATCCCTTTTGTGTTTTTTTTCCTCCCTTTTTTCCCTTTTTTTCTTTTTTTTTTCCTTCCTTTATATCGATATTTTTGATATTTTAGCGATATTACATCGATATTTTGACAAAATATTGCTGAAGTGTAAGCGAAATTATCGTCAATATTGTCGATATTTGTACGATATGTACATGGATATGTTCCGAAATATCCGTGATTCGAAAAAACCGAAATATCCTCGATATTTCGTCAATATTATCGATATTTCAGACTATGGACACGACATAAAAACAACACAAAAATAACAGGTTTCGGATCAACACGATAACTTATCGGGTCATTATCGGGTAACCCGTTAATAACGAGTTCTTAACGGGTATACACGCAGGTAACACGTGAGTAACCTGTTTCGATCCGTTAAGAAAAAAATTATTTTGATAATTTTAAAGTTTAATTACTAAAAGATTTATTATAAAATACAATAGTCATATTAATATATACAATATATTCTATATTAAATATATAGTTTTGTATTATTATTCTATATAAGTTTAAAAAAAAGTTTTAGTCATTATTTATTTTTATTACGAGAGTTCCTTATTATAATTACTACGATAAATTTTACTTAACAGGTTGTTGTCCAAAATTAAAATAAACTAATATAGTATTTGCATAGGTAAGAACTAAGAAGACATACATACAAGTATGAAAAATGTGAAAGAATATATAAACACTCGTAATTCATCATTATTCCACCCCCAAATAGATAATGGTTACACTTCCATTATCGTTTAGATTTTTAAAATCTTCCAAACCTTCATGAATAATGTTTTTTTATTTGAGGGAAAAATTAATAATTATTATTGTATAAGTGTAAAAAATGTTAAAAAAAAATACAATTACTCATAGTGACAAACTTTACAACTTTAATGAAGGAGTCAACTTCAAAATCCAACACTATAATTCATAAACCTTAAATTTATATTTAACTGTCGATTGTCATTTACACTTTATTCTTCTTGCTGAATTTCATTTTTAAAATTTTCTTTTATGAAAACATGATTATCTGGCGAATGTAAGAACATGAACAGTTCAGATCTTTGATATCACGTTTCGATATTTACGGTTAACTGAAATATGAGTCGATGTCATATAGTTTGTAGAAACTTTATAAACATCAAGCAATATTTTCACTAACCGTAAAACTCTTAATATAATATCAACGATCCAAACCGTTCATCTTCTTGCATCCTCTAATAGATCAAGTTTTCAAAAAATAAAATTTGAAAAAAACAAAATTTGATGAGAACAATGAAACGTAAATGTAAACAACAATCAGCGGTTAAATTTTGATCTATGATTTATATGATTATAGTGGCGAATTTCAAAGTTAAGCTCTTCATGAAAGTTGTAAAGCTTGTCATTACGAGCATTTCTATATTTTTTCTATATTTTTTACACTTCTATATTAATTAAAAAACTATTAAAGACTTTAGGTAAGTGAAAATATACTTAAAAGAAAAATTCGTTTTTATGTTTTGGATGTGACAATATGGTATGTATATACTTATTTAGTATTATGTTTTTTATTTGATTATTTATTGGTTTAAAATATATTTTCCTTAACTGATAACGGGTCGGATCATATTACCTGTTAATATTATCGAGTCGATTTAGGATCATGTCATTTTACCCGTTTATTTTAACGGATGTTACACGACAAGACCCGTTAAGATATCGGATATGACGCAAAAATAACACAAACACGGAAAACACAACACGAATGTCAGGTCTAATACTGAGTCAATTACAATTGATCCACCTAGTCTTTTTCATCCAACGGTATCTAAAAGCTCAGCAGGGAAGAAAATGGCTTCTTTTTTTTTTCACCAAATGTTTGTCAAAGACGAAATAATTAACAGCTGTCCTTCCCATGGAAAAACAAATAAGAGAACATTTCTTGTCAACTAGTTCTACGGCCAGTGGTGCTATCTATCTATTCTATTAAGAGAACATTTCTTGTCAACTTTTTACCTCTTTTTTCTCATTTTGATACATAATATTGACATGAGAAGGTAAAATAGTAATTTTGTATCTTTTGAGAAAATAGCAATCATATCCCTATTTTACATTTTTTTAAAATGACAATCATATTCCTATTTTTCCTATTTTACCTTCACTTTTGATACACAATATTTACATAAAGAAGACAAACATTAATTATGTAATATTAAGAAAAAATATATACTTATTAAGAAAAACTAGCACATCATTATTATTTCATACTCTTTTTAAAATTTTAAAAACTAATCATACTCCTTAATAGAAAAATTCTGTTTAAAATTTTAAAAACTAATCACACTCATTAATAAAAAAATAAAAAACAAAATGAAATTGTTCACACACACAAAGTGTGTGCTCATTTGCTATTATCAATTGTGTGAACGGTGCTAAATCAACCACTTGTCTCAATCATTATTTGGTTTAGTACTTTATATTATGAATATTTTGTTGTGTGGATAGAAGTTGTGTTTCGAATTCTGGCGCCGGTAAATGATACGGTAATAGTTAAGGAGGCTAATATATTTTTATGTGTGTTCTCAGCCTCTAAATGGATAGAATACTGTGGTGAAGTCACCAGTTGATTTTCTTTAAAAAAAAATTATTAGATAAGAAATGCTTGTCCCTTCTATAGCGTATCCTAATTTGTTATTTACGTAATTGCTTTAACGTGAATGGTGCTAAATCATAATCTTTGTAACAAATTTAAGTTATATATAATCAATTATCAAGATTTTATTATGCGAAATTATAGAGCTAAGTGTATTCTAACATTCTATGCAAAAATTGAAATCATGATTGTTGGAACTAAATATGTGCACACCCACGAATGAAGGTGAAATCCAGTCGGATTTGCCAATGCTCTCTGATGAGGGAAGAATGAGGTTAATTGAAGGGTGTGGTGAATCTGAATTGAATTGCCTACATATCTTCCGAAATACCTCTGTAAATCTTCTTGGCTCCTAGAAGGATAGAATATTGTGGCGAAGCCAGCAACTGGTCAATTTTTTTAAAGAAAACACACTAGATAAGTGATACTCGTCCATCCTATCACATACCCTAATGCGTTACTTGCGCAATTGCTTTAACGTGAATGATGCTAAATCACAATCTTTGTCCCGAATTTAAGTATAGAGATACTTTAGATGCGGTCCCTAATCCTTAACATTCTTTGATTAAAACCTTAGTGGTATTCAAAATTTGATCGAAGTCCCCTGACTTTGTATACCTCATTATATTACAATTAATATCAATATTTTTATAGTTTTGACATTAATTGTTTAATATTTTATGAGATTTATAATCCTATAAATTTAAAATCCCTCATTATAATACTATTATAAACGGTTACAATAAAAAAAATTCAAACATTTTGATTGAATAAATGGATAAAAACTACATAAAAATAAGAAATAATAAATGGAAAAAGAATGTATCCATAGTGTTAAAAAAATTGGTACATTTCACATATAACAAAGTGGTACATTAATAAAGAAGAATGGGTACATTATAAATAAATTAGGGTACATATAAAAGATTAAACAATTATGAGTACAAATGAATTTTTAAAAAATATAGGCACTAAAAGAAATTAATACATGGGTACAAAATAAAATTAAAAAGAAAATACTACAAATTTAGAAAAATGTTGCAAATTAAAAGTGGGTACAAACTAAATATATAAATATATGATACAAAGTTTAGGCATAAAACATAAGTATACCATATGTAATTTTTCTATCATTGATTAAATATACAATGTCACGTGACGGTATACACATGGGTACAAACACAAATAAAACTTTAAAAAATATGGGCACAAAAAGAAACTAATATATGGGTACAAATTAAAAATAGGTACAAACTAACAATAAAAATATATGATAAAAAATTTAACCATAAATATAAATATACTAATTTTAACATTTTTATTTAAAAATAAAAATATTTTATTATTCAAATAATGAATGATGTTATTAATACCCAAGGACATTGATCAAAAATTTAAAATGAATAGGATTTTAATCAATGGAGTAACAAAAAGAAGGATGTGAACCTAATTTCTCTTTAAGTGTATATACAATCTATTATCAAGATTTTATTATGTGAAATTATAGAGCCAAGCGTATTCTAAGATTCTCTACATAACTTGAAATTATGATCGTTGTAACCAAATGTGCGCACAACCATAGACAGATGTGAAATCTAGTGAGCTGACTTGTCAAGTCAGTCGACAATACCGAAACATAATAATCCCCACGTCTATAAGATAGTTCGTATAAGAAGTCCAGGGTGAT